AACTGTTGTCAATGAACACAGCTCCTTGCTGCGTCCACAAATGCAAGTGGAAGCCATGTGTCAATAACGTCTGGAAACGTCAGCGGCTTCTCTGGGCTGGAGGTCATCTGAAATGGACTAAAATGGAGGAGTCAATCTTTTGAATTGTTTGTGGAAATAAAACATGTTGTGCTCTCCGGGCCAAAGAAGAAAAGAAACAACCAGTTTAGGGCATGAAGGTAAAAAAACAGCATCTGTCATGGTGTGGGGGATAATTAGTGGGTTACTTGCACATCTGTAAGTATTATTAACACTGAAAGATATATACATATTTTGGAGCAGCATATGCTGCCTCTGTGCTTACTTCAGCATGACAAAGCCAAGAAACATTCTAAATTAAATCTAATTGTTTTAATAAAAGTAAATATTATTTTCACAATTGTGTAACTTTAGGGGTATGGGCTTAGGCCAGATTCTTCCCAATAGAAAGTACCCTATAAATGCTGATTTTATTTATGTTGTGACAAGGGGCTTTTCACCAAGAAACTCGGTGGAGTCAGGGGTCAGGTTCATATCTGGAAATTTAATACTAGGTTTTTAGGAACAGCTCAACACAGAAAGATAAAAGAGCACAGCCACTCCAAGCTTACAGCTACAAATCAACTCCTGAAGCCAAAGAAACCATCTCTCCATCCATATTCAGGCTCTTCAATCTAAAAATCCTTGTAAAAGTGAAACTAAGGCAGCCCAAATGAAACATTTATTTTCTGACTGAACTACTCACAAAATGACATAGCTATGCCACATTGCCCGCTGCTTTTTTGACGGGACAGTCCCCCCAGACAAACCCTTCTTGGCTGTTCAGACGTTGCACCCTACAGACCCACTCTGCATTGGGTTGACAACCCCACCATTCAATAGACTTAATATATACAGCTGTCTGTGTATATATCTCTGTCCTCTTGTTATTTGTTGGAGTATTAAATGTATTTTGATACAAAGAATGAAATGAAAAAAGAAATGTGAATTTATGAATAAATAAACTGCACAACACTGTAACTGAGGCAGTATCAAAACAAAATAAAAACAATTTATTTTCAAAACAGCTTTTGCCATGTACAGCCTGGTGACAGATTAAAAGAAAAACGCGTTAAAGGAAAAATAGGTGCCTGACACAAATAAGTGGTTAACATCATACTATGTTCTGTGGATTTTATAAAAATGCAGAGCAGACCCACCTGACCCCAATTTTGGATCAAGAAGGCAAAAGGAGAAGATCTAAGTGACTTTGAAAGAGTGTTTATTATTGTTGGATAACTGTACAGACCAGTGTTTCCCAACCCGGTCCTCAGCGCCCCTCAGAGAGTCCACATTTTTGCTTGGGCCCTGAGGATCACATTGGGAACTAAAGGTCTGCATTCCTGCAGGAATATCTTGCAGTGTTGGTCAGTGTCACACACAGGAGCAGGCAGCTAACCACCCCAGTAACCTCGCAAATTACTTAAAATGTTTACAAACACATTAGCCAAAAAATGCTAACAATCACTTAACAATTGGCATATATAAATAATATACAACAGCTAAATAGTGGAAAAAAGTAATGAACTCATTCTATATAGAAACTGTAAACTACTTCTAAATAGAAGCAACCAATCACGTGAACAATGACACAAAAGCACCTTAATTGCTTCCTTGTAGAAAACAGAAATATCCCAGTCAGATGGTCAGAGCTGTGGAAAGTGAGCTTAATAAAAGTGAAAAGTCCAGGCTTGGTCCAGGCTGCAGCCTTTGGCTTTGTGAGTGCAGATGGCCAAAAAGACAAGGCTGGATCTTTAACATGCTAACCTTTTTGCCCATCAATCATTATAGACCATATAAAGGTGAGTGTCACTGATGAGAAAATGAGAAAACTCGTAACGCTTAAAATGTCACTTAATTATGGGGAAAGTCATGCCCTTCAATGAAAAGCAATTGGCTTGCTGGTAAAGCTACACTAGATTGCCAAAAGTATTCACTCACCCATCCAAATCATTGAATACAGGTGTTCCAATCACTTCCATGGCCACAGGTGTATAAAGCCAAGCAGCTAGGCCTGCAGACTGCTTCTACAAACATTTGTGAAAGAATGGGTCACTCTCAGGAGCTCAGTGAGTTCCAGCGTGGTACCGTGATCGGATGCCACCTGTGCAACAAGTCCAGTCGTGAAATTTCCTCACTACTAAATATTCCACAGTCAATTGTCAGTGGTGTTATAACAAAGTGGAAGCGATTGGGAATGACAGCAACTCAGCAACAAAGTGGTAGGCTACATAAAATGACAGAGCGGGGTCAGCGAACTTTCTGCAGAGTCAATCGCTACAGACCTCCAAACTTCATGTGGCCTTCAGATCAGCTCAAGAACAGCATAGTGAGCTTCATGGAGTGGGTTTCCATGGCTGAGCAGCTGCATCCAAGCCTTACATCACCAAGCGCAATGCAAAGTGTTGAATGTAGTGGTGTAAAGCGCCGCCACTGGACTCTAGAGCAGTGGAGACGTGTTCTCTGGAGTGACCAATCACGCTTCTCCGTCTGGCAATCCGATGGACAAGTCTGGGTCTGGCGGTTGCCAGGAGAACGGTACTTGTCTGACTGCATTGTCCCAAGTGTAAAGTTTGGTGGAGGGGGGATTATGGTGTGGGGTTGTTTTTCAGGAGTTGGGCTCAGCCCCTTAGTTCCAGTGAAAGGAGCTCTTAATGCTTCAGCAGACCGAGAGATTTTGGACAATTTCAACTTTGTGGAAACAGTTTGGGGACGGCCCCTTCCTGTTCCAACATGACTGCACACCAGTGCACAAAGCAAGGTCCATAAAGACATGGATGAGCGAGTTTGGTGTGGAAGAACTTGACTGGCCTGCATAGAGTCCTGACCTCAACCCGATAGAACACCTTTGGGATGAATTAGAGCGGAGACCGTGAGCCAGGCCTTCTTGTCCAACATCAGTGTCTGACCTCACTAATGCGCTTCTAGAAGAAGGTCAAAAATTCCCATAAACACACTCCTAAACCTTGTGGAAAGCCTTCCCAGGAGAGTTGAAGCTGTTATAGCTGCAAAGGGTGGGCCGACATTATACTAAACCCTATGGATTCAGAATGGGATGTCACTCAAGTTCATATGCGTGTGAAGGCAGACGAGCGAATACTTTTGGAAATATAGTGTATGAATAAGAAAAGCATGCTCAGTTGTGGAGATGGAGAGGCCAAAGGTGCTAAGAGATATTTATAAGAATTTTTGTCAGAATTTACCAGTGACTTAAAGTATGTTTTTGAAGCAGTAATTAGGCCTTTAGTTTTGAGTTTTTAGGTCTCCTCCATTCAAAAAGATAGGAGTCTAGTCTTGTGTCACTAGAAATAACTGCCCAGTGGCCTTGCCAACATGGCCACCCAGTGGACAGACTTTCTTATAAGGGCTTTGGTTCAGGCCTGCTGCTGGCACTGCATCTCTCCTGGTTTAGAACTGGCTTTATAAGTGCTGCTTATAACGGTATCCTTACTGATTGTAAGAATGAAGATTATGGAGCGGACACTGAGTGAGTTTTCCCATGTCTGAGCAAAGAGTGAGCTGGTTTGGGAATCACAGGTCTACGTGCTGATGACTACGATCTGTGGCTTGAATAATGTTTGAAGCATGTATAACCATGGATCTAACAGCAACGTCATTGAGGTAAAGTCACCTAAAGTCACCTTAACCAAATTGGCTACTCTGTTAAGTTCTCATTATTTTATATAGCATGTGTAAAATCTTCATTGAGGGGAAAGGCTCAAATTTTTCATACTCTAGGGTCACTAAATGGTTTAATCCAACTTTGCTTATACTGATGATGAAATGGATAAACTGAGAGTATCTAACTTGGTAGATAACTTGCTAACTTAAGATTTTAATAAGTAGTGAGTTATATTATCATTTTTAAGAGTATCCTGCTGTCTACCTACATGGCTTGTGTGTTTTAGTTACTTGCCCCAGTTTATTTTCATCTGGCTTTTCTTCTGTTTGAATTTGAGCTCTCTTCGCCTAGCTAAAAAATCAAAAAGTCTGCCCCAAATATAGGCTCCACAGCAGCTTCAGCTCTACAGAATAGAATATATCACTCACACTGGGATATACGCTTTAAGGAGATAAGCAGGCATGTTTACAGCATATTATTGTCATGTGTTGGTCAAAGTGTCTCTGGAACATGGCTCAATACATTGAGTTAGGTAGTTAAGGAAAGCTTAAACACAGAGAACTGTACACACCAAACACCAAATATATTAAACCTTAATTACCCTATTAACTATGGCAGCACTTTAGGGCCACTGTTAATAAAAATAAAAATAGTAGAAAAAAGTCGTAATATTTCGAGGATAAAGTCGTAATATTTTCAGAAAAAAAGTCATAATATTTCGAGAATAAAGTCGTAATATTTTGAGAAAAAAGTTGTAAATTTTTGAGAATAAAGTCGTAATATTTGGAGGATAAAGTGGTCTAACTGTAGGGGGCTGCCATAACGCGTTGGGGTCTCGGTTGCTGTACTGGCGCCGGAGTTCCACTCACTCCTGTCTCTCTGTGGATCATTTTGATCATCATTCTCACTGTCTGTGAAACTTCATGCCCTCTTTGAATGGTGTGGAGATGTAGCCCCCGATAGCCGTGTAGAGACCCTGCCTGAGATTCTCCTTCGACAACACAGACAGACAGTTTCCTCCGAGTCCGTCTGGCTCTTTATTCTAGATAAACAGTTTCCTGCTCAGCCGTTTCAGCCGGGACTTATACTAATAACAGGCTGGTGCTGATGTGCAGGAGAGACAGGGAGACTGAGTGTTTCTTTATGGGTGAATCGATATAAAAGTAAAACTCCACCAACTCACCGCCCCTCATTTAACACGAGGAGGGGCTGCCTTTTCTTTCCTGGTATAACTGCGACTTTAATGTTGTAATTCTCCGATGTTTTTCTCGAAATATTATGACTTTATTCTTAATTTTTATTAACAGTGGCCCTACAATGCCATAGTAATTTACCACTCCATTATATAAAGCAATAAAAGTGATAATAATAATTAACAACATAATAAGATGTTCTTCTGACATGGATCCGCTGGTGCTGGATACAGAAGAGGCATGCCTGGTCTCAGTCTTCATTGTTGGAAAACAGAAAGAAAATAAATATTAGAGGTTTTATCAACATGGACATCCTGTACAGGCCTCTAAAAACCACTGACTAACCTTCATAAGTGATGCAGATGAAGTTGAGTTTCTGGTCCTCAGGCAGGCTGACCCACTGCTGACCTCCACTAGACTGCACCGCTCCGGTTCTCTCTACAGAGCTGCAGTCTTCTCCTCCTGTCCCGTTACCTGGAGCCCAGTTCTCATAGCAGATGGAAAAACCGCTCACCCAGTACCAGAAACCCTGAGTGCAGGTGTGACGCAGACCCAGCCACACATGTTCAGTGGAGGCTTTCTGTGCCACCTCCTTCACCCAGAGCTGGATCTCCTCAGAGAGAACTGAGACCAGATCCACATGATGATCTCTGCAGTATCTCAGAGCTTCTCTCCAGGTCAGATTCTGATTGATCAGGATCAGCTTATCTGGAAGAAAAAGGAAACGTGTTAATGAATAGTTTACACACTGAAATTGATCCCTGCAACATATCCCAAAGAAGCTGGGACAGGAACCATTTCAGACTAGGAATGTTGTTAAATGTAAAAACATTTTACACTGATGAATCAATCAAGCATGGGTGTAAAAAAGACCAGACAGGAAATGCCTGGTCCTTTATCACCAAGGATGGGACGAGGCTCACCATTTTGTCAAAATGGTACTCAGCGGGCAATTGCAAGGATTTGAGGTATTTCACCCTCTACAGTGCATTAAATCATCAAAACATTCAGGAAATCTGAGGAAATCTCTGAAATCTAATGGGGAAGGCTGAAAACCACACCTGAACACCCATGGCCTTCAATCCCTTGGACAGTGCTGCTTTAAAAACCAGGCTTCTTCTGTGATCATGACATTAGTTTGGGAAAACTTCGACAAACTGTTGTCAATAAACACAATGCAAGACTGTACTGTGCACAGTGGAGGCCAAATGACAACGACATCCAACATCTGGCTCTAAGAGGTGCAACATATGTTGCTTTCTAGACAACGTCTTTTTCAGGGCCACCATACAGTACTTATTTCCAACATGGCAACAGTAAATCTCATTCTGCATGTGTTAAAACAGCATGACTGCATAAACACAGAGCATGAGTTCTTGACTGGCCTACATGCAGTCCAGATGTCTCTCCCATTGAAAACATGTGGCCCTCTATGGTCTACAGTCGAGACCTCGTATAACCTCTTATTCTCCAGGGTATATTTTGGTTTGTCCTTCTGAATTTACATGACCAAATCGTAAGGCAAATTATTCAGTCACTGCATGAAATAAATGTTAATTGACTGGAAAGAAGACAGTTACAGCTCTCATATGACACCCACCTTTTGAATGTAGCTTATGAAATATGAAAGTTATGAAGAATATGACGAAGTGTGTTTTGGAACCCCCGGTGGAGTTTAAGAGGATAATAGAAGAAGAAATGAATACAGGTCAAACAGAATTTACTAACCACTACTGTTCCAAGCTTTTTGGAATTGGGGTTTGTATAATGATGACATACAGTTATTTGAAGCATGCAGTAAACACAATAATACGTTATTACACACATAAAACCAACCTATTATTTTTCTTAATAAATAAAAAAAGCATGGTAAGTGAAATATAACTCACTCTCAAAGCAGACGAATGGCAACTTTATGTCACAGGTCATATCATACCAGTGACCCTGGTCAGTCATAGACGCTGCAGTACAGTTCTCATTTCCACCCTGATTATCCGGCTGTGTAGATGCCCAGTATCGGAATGAGGAGGCACTCTGATCTGACCACTTCCAGGAGTCTCTAAACAGGCCAGTCCAAGGACCGCCATACGATGAATTTACTCCAAAATTCCAGATCTGTTGGTTCTCAGTCTGGTTCCTCACACTGGCCATGTCGGTGTAATCCTCTCTACAGTAGCTCTGAGCCTCACTCCAGGTCTTTGTGGTAGAAATAAAAACTATGTAATTTCCGTTGTTTGTGTTCTTTTCTGAAAGACATCCAATTCACATTGTTAATTAAATTGCATAATTAACTCTATGTTAAGTTGGGTTTGGCTTCAGATTTTTGTGTTTTATTCATATTTACATATTAACACATATCAAGATGTTCTTACCGTCATAGCACACAAATGTGTATAGGCTGCTACATCTGTCATCAAACCAGGTTCCGTCACTTTTCTTCATCACAACACAGTTCTCGACACCTCCAAGATTATTGGGTTCTCCACTTGCCCAGTTTCGGTAAGTGTCTCCCTTTCTGTAGAAGTTTCCATCTGCCAGAGACCACAGCCATTGGTCAGTGTCCCCTCTGACTAGGCCGATCCAAACAGAGCTGCTGGGGGTGTCGTTCAGATGTTTCTTAAGAGTGGTATTCAGCTTCTTCATCTCCTCCATGTTGTTGATGGTGGCCAGATCTGCGTCTTTCCATCTGCAGTAGCTCTGAGCTTCAGTCCAGGTTTTATTCTCATTCACAAAGTGAAATCGACGAGGAACACATGCAGCTAGACCACACACAGCTGTGAAGAACATTAGAAAAAGACTTATTTGGTAGTGTTAGATAATGTTGGGACAATGAACGTCTCCCACTCCTGAACACAGATGGCCCCGGCATCATCTGATCTCGTTTGTCATTAGGTGCTGTTTAGCTACTGCTAAGACCAGCTAATTGTTTATTTACAAACTTATTTCAGAGTTTTATAAAAGCAAAAGTTAGCCAGCTATTTTAGTCTGTTTGCTAAGTTTAAGACTAGCTGGTACTAACAGTATAGAAGAGTAGGAGTAGCTTCCCTAATAGCAAGAGGATAGTGGACCACTGTCAGCCCACTGATGGCAAATCTGGTGGCCCACTGGCATTTTGCTCAGCGTTCTCTAGGCAGTCCACAGGTGGTTAAGCAGAGTATTAGACAAATTCCACTTATCATCACTCATTTTCCCTCACAGTCCGATTTACTTATTTTCCTTCTTCCTTTATTTAGTTATACTTTGTACATTATTTTATTAAATCATTTTAATCCGCCACAACATTTTCTATAAAATCATTTTATATCAGGCCCAGTCATGATTTTTTTTTTCCCCTCATTTGTTTGTAAGTTTATTTTTCAAAATAAAAGTGTGTACATTTATAATCTGTTTGAGGAGATTAAAAACCAGTTAGAACTTGTATGCAAAACAGTAATCTGGGTGGTCAGAGGGTGGACCAGCAGTGGCAAACAGTCAGTGGGGTGCTGACCTTATCAAGCCAGCGGACCAATATATGCTCGCTATCTGGGTTAGCTAATAGCACCACATAAAAACAGGTTTGCTGCTTTAGATTTGCCTTTTTTTCTGGCTGGACCTCTGTCCTTTTTTCCATGTAGTGGGTGTATCTATGAACAAGTACTCAAATAGACTTTAGTCATATTTACTAATTAACTATGCAACCTCCTGATTAGCATCCAAACGCAGTATAACACTAGCCTCTAGGGCTAACAAGGGCAGTACAGTAAAGCAAGACTAGCTTAGGTTTCTTATTCAATATCTATTTAAAAAAACCCTCAAATTTGGTGTGAAGAACTGTCCCAGTAGCATGTAGCAGTATCTTAGCATACTACATCTCAGCACCACAGCATTAGGTTAATTCCAGCTAACTAAAACACGTTTTTGTGTGTGGAGACGTTATCTAAGCCGCTCTTGTTCTTTTTCTCATAAGCACTAGAAGCTAGCACTAGAAGCTAGCGCTAGTCTTGCGAGAAAGCTAAAACACTTTCACACAGCACAACACAGGTTCTAGTTCACTGATGCTTCTTCACTCAAGTTTAGAGGATAAAAAATCAAATCTGAGGGAGCAAATGTGTGTTTTTGTGTGTGGAGCCATTAGCTAAGATGCTTCTTTTCCACGCCTCATTAGCACCAGAGGCTAATGTTAACTTAGCAACGAGGACACTAAAACAGATAAACACACCACAACATGGGTTCAATATCCTCATGTTTAGAGGATAAAGACTCAAAATTGAGTGAGTGAAATGGTGTGACTGGTATTGGAGTGACAGTAGGAAAAAAATGAACCTTTTCTGTGGTGAGTTAAGCCTGACTGAGCTAAGTTATTAGCCTGCTAAGTTAGCGCTAGCACAATCAGCCCACTGTGCTACAGTTGTTGTTCAGTTTATGGCTGAATGGTTATCAGGTGATGAATTGAAAATCTTGCTAGTCTATTTTCTAATTACTAATGTTACAGTGGGAGCTTATTGGGTTCTAGTGTGTGCCATCTTAATGGCTCAATCTGTTGAAACACCGAGGGCTGGGGTTGCAGTCTAAGGTCATTTTACCAACAAAAGACTAAATAAAATAGCATTTGACCAACATAATATTAATATTAATCTTCTGGGTATGTTATCGACTAATGTTTTGTAGATAAGTATCTGTCACTAAATGGCACTGTTGGCCTTTTAATCAAGTGAGTTCTCTGCTACAAAAATAAAGGCTTTTTATGTAATTGTTAGTGTACCTGTCAAACATGGACAAAGAACGTATATGTAATTCCAATACAGTAACTAAATTATTTGATTTTTATGTGTATCTTGTTTACATGTTAGCTCATATTAAGACATTGATGTTTGAACATGTTTTAACAATATTAAAAGTTTTTAATGTGTTGTATATAATAGGACCTATTATGCCATGCAATCAGAAAAGCAAATGAATATCAATAACATTGCATGCATACACCTCCTTGTTTCTACGCTCATTGTCCATTTTATCAGCTCGACTTACTATATAGGTGCACTTTGTAGTTCTACAGTTACAGACTGTAGTCCATCTGTTTCTCTGCATACTTTGTTAGCCCCCTTTTACCCTGTTCTTCAGTGGTCAGGACCCCCATGGACCCTCACAGAGCAGGTACTATTTGGGTGGTGGGTCATTCTCAGCACTGCAGTAACACTGACATGGTGGTGGTGTGTTAGTGTGTGTTGCGCTGGTACAAGTGGATCAGACACAGCAGTGCTGCTGGAGTTTTTTGTCCACTCACTGTCCACTCTATTAGACACTCCTACCTTGTCAGTCCACCTCGTAGATGTAAAGTCAGAGACGATAGCTCATCTGCCGCTGCATAGTTTGTGTTGGTCATCCTCTAGTCCTTCATCAGTGGTCACAGGACACTGATCCACTCAGACCAGCACAACACACACTAACACACCACCACCACATCAGTGTTACTGCAGCGCTGAGAATGACCCACCACCCAAATAGTACCTGCTCTGTGAGGGTCCATGGAGGGTCCTGACCACTGAAGAACAGGGTAAAAGGGGGCTAACAAAGTATGCAGAGAAACAGATGGACTACAGTCTGTAACTGTAGAACTACAAAGTGCACCTATATAGTAAGTTGAGCTGATAAAATGGGTGGGCACCCACTGTGGAGGGCTGTATTCTTCATTTGCTAAAGGTAAAACCACAGAGTGCCTGGGGCAGAAAGGAAGGGGAGGGGTTTGGGAGCTGGGAGGCAAGTGGATGTTTTCAATTTGCATAATCTGCATATTTATAAATCCTTGCATACTTAATGAGGGTTTAGGGATGCTTAAATGTCATTTTGTTTCCTGGGCATAACAATAATGCATAGGAATATCTACAAATTTGTCATCCGACATAGATAGAACAGCAGTTTAAATCCTAACAATAGTAAGTGAAACTCATGATATAATAAGAAACCTTTTTGGACATACTGCTGTCAGGAACAGAGAGGAGGAAAAACATTTCTACTCTGAGGAAACAGGGGTCCATGCTAATGATACTAAAAGTCCACACATGCCTACAAAACTGAAATGAACTGAATTAAGAGTTCACTCTCAAACGCACACTGACCTGAGAAAAGGAAGATGATGGAAACCCATTTCTGATCCATTTCTGATAGACAAAAGAAGCGGTTTTAATATTTTAAAATATATGTGAACATCACACCATTAACACAGTGTGACAAATGTCCAAAAATATACATGGAAGGAACCAACAAGAAAGGAAAATCCTACCTAGTTGCTTGTTCTTCTTTTCTCCTTTTTATGATCTTCTGTCTTCTTCTCCTCACTGTTTGGTTCTGAATCTCTCTCTCCTCTCTGTATATCTCTATGCTCTTTAACTTCTCCCATTTTTGCTGTCCTGCTAACTGATGTTATCTGGAACAGGAAAGATTCAGGTGACATTTCACTGGCCAAACGGTCATAACATACTTTGCATGAGTTTCTGTCAAAACATGATCAACAACAACAAGCTGTTTATAAACTTGATTAACCCTTTAAAAGCCTGGTGTGTCAGCTATGGTGTTTATAACGGGAAAGGTAGTAAGGATAACCGGATCTACCTATATAAAATAAATAAAATAATGAATAAATGACTCAATAAATAAATAAAATAAAAAATGATATATGCATTATTTTGTTTGGTTTCATTTTTTTATTTTGGTTTTTAATCCTATATTTAGGTTATTTATCTCCTTATTTATTTACTCACTTAAGCATTACTTTCTCTATTTAGTTCTGCATGTATTTATTTAGTTATATTTTATTCCTTTTTGTATCAAAGCTGCACTATTTACATTTTGGGGATTTGGAGACCTCTCTGGTGGAAATGTGTAATTGCACGCAACATGCAGATGTGAGTTGTGCTTTGGACCCCTTCCCCGAGCAGATGAATCGAAAATTGAAAGAAAGTTCAGAGAGAACTCAGTAAAAGCTTGATGAAACGTTGTGTCTTCCGGGGATGTGAGTGAATTGTCTTCTATTGTTATCATACCTTCATTAATATAAGGTTGATTTTGCTTTAGAGGTCTAAACATTGAGCCAGAGTTTCTTTTTGAGCCTGATATTAATACATAAAGACGTATGATGTGGTCTCCCGAATCGAAGCCTATGACTTTTAAATGATTATTTTGGGCTTTACAGGGCAACTCACAACAGCACAAGCCAGTTTGTTTTTTCCCTTCTCAGTAATGCTTCTTTAAGCTTTAACAAAAAATCTTTCATAGAGCTGCTTTAATTTCTGCACTTATTAAGCATCCAAGCATACAATTGCTTACAAATGATGTATTGTGGTGTCAGCGAAGAAAATGATATGGGAAACATAGCATTTTCAGAGAATGTTCTTTATTAAACACAGCAGCATAGGAGAGGCCGCCACTCAGTGCTAGCTGACATGGTAGGGAGGCAGACATGTCATTAACAGACAAATACTGTCTGTACATGGTAGACACTAACTCAACTACTCTATCCCCACAGCCCTGCACCTTAACACGCATCTGAAACATACACACCTTGTTTAAGCTTCAACAACAACTATTTGCGTCACTGTGCATGGCCACGCCTCTCGCACATCCATGGCCGGGGGATTGCAGGACATTACACAGCCCCTTCTTTTCAGAATCCCAGTGACCTCACAAAGTCCGAGCAGAGTCCCTGAGGTGTGCTTGCAATATCTCTGGAAAAGGGGATATGGAATGTTCCACTATCCCAGTTAACACATACACAACACATTGGGCATTGGGCAGCCTTCAACAACTGCTTTTACTGGCCTACTTCTCGCCGTCACTGCCTTTGTGTCTCGCTGCACCAGCCTCACCTTCTCACACTGGCTCCACCATCAAGCCTTCCTAGACCGGCTCCCGCTTTTACTGGGCTCTGCCTTGCTCACTGCATGCCTGGAAGGTTCTTAAAGTGCTGTTCCTAACTAGACCACTGTGTGTGTGGGGGGTACTATTCCACTTCTGACACCAGTGTAGCTTTGGTGTGGAGTAAGACACACAGGAGACCATAATTCTGCTGGGAAAAGTACTCTTTATTAACACATCTGCAGAAAAGGCACATACAAAGCACTTAGCTCACATGGGACACCATTACCCACAGGTTTTATGATCCCGGTGACCACCCCTCACACACAAAACACAGCAACACCCCAAATCCGCCGACACAGAATATCACAATAAACAGATACCACATACCTTTAACTAACAAACAGCAACACAAACAACATAAATAGTCCATTCTTTTATGAACCTCTTGAGCCTCTAGAGGCCAGTGCCAGCCAGTAGTGGGTCACTACAGTATTTGGTTACAGGGGATCTATGATAAGCCGCAAACACTTACCAGTGGAATACCAAAGGTGAACGAAATCAGTGGCATGTTGTTTGGGCCTCTTTGACTACATGGTACAGCAGATTACTGAAATCTTTTTTTCCAAAAAGCTGTGGACCAGAGCAGACTGTGTATTATTTTATGATCTGTTTAAACTCAAGGCTTAATGGAAATAGTAGAGCTAAATGTGTGTGATTGTGTCCAAAAGTATGTCACCAACATGAATTTCCCAGTACACCAAAGATACCTGGATGACATACTACTCCAAAAATTAAAAGATATTATTTAAATTATATTAAATGTCAAATCATCAATCTTACATCGACATGCTAAACCTTAAACTAGGACAGTAGATTTGTGTTGGTTATGGTGCTAACACTAGTTTAGCTATCAGGCTAACATCTCAACACACCACACACAATTCCAACTACCTGACGATCTACTGACACAACTCATGTGGGCCAAACCCACTCATGACCATAAAATATATTTGTTTGGTAGAGAATGCTGGGTTCTCTACTCAGTGCACCCAGCATTATTTACCAGATAGGACCTGTGATGGGAATATTAGTGGAGTATTCTGCTAAGTTCATGACCCATTTTTTGTCATGTGATACTTTACATCAGACATTCAGGTTTAGTAGACAATGGTACAGGGGTCATTTAAAAATACTAACAATAAGCTAGCATGTGGTCAAACGGTTACTATAGTATTTTATCTGGTAGCAAAGATGTTCCTAACCAGTTGCTATCAGGTCCCAGGTGGTTGCTAAAGTGTTCTGTGTGGTTGCTAATGTGTTGCTGGGTGGTTACTATCATATTCCACAGGGTTGCTAATGTAATGCAATGTGCAATTACAAATTGACACCAGTATATTTGTTATCAAAGTGGGTGAACGTGGGTTTGAATTGAAACAGCACTAAAGATTGGATCACAATCATTGACTTCAGGTTCTTCTATAACTTTTTAGCTCCACAAAAGTAAACTGCTTATAACATATAAATTAAGTGGAAAATTTGACTTAAATGTAAGCCAGTGTCATTTTGGGCTTTTATGGTAACTCAGTACTAACTGGTCAGGCCTGAAAGTCAAAATTTGGACTAAGTACTTAGTAGTTGAGTAGTACAACCTTAAAGAAACTTGAGGCATCAAACATGTCCTAGCTGATCAACTACATTTGGGGTGGGGAGCAGAACCGTGTAAAATTAGGTTTCTCCATTAAACACAGATTAAACAGGTAGAAACAGATGTGCTCCAGCCTGTCTGGAATGAAAACCTGCAGCCACATCGGCCCTTTACGAATAAGATTGGACATCCCTGCCATGTATGATGACACTGTACCAAAGAAGCTACTCAGATCATCTACTAGGTAGGACAAAAATAGAAGGAAGAATCTTTAGAACCTAATGCAGAATGATCAGTCTTTATAAAATCGTCTTTATAAAATAAAAGCACGATTCAATCATGGATGCTTGCTGTAACTTTAAGGCAGGATGTCATACATAACAACACCACTTACCTGTGCTAAAATCACTGTAGTGCACGGCTTCTCATGGTTTATTGCTTTAGGTTAACTATGCATTTAATATTTCTTATGAATTCATCAAGGTTTTTTATGCATCTAGTTGATAGAGCTATAAAATGGTGCTGTTGCAGAAGGAAATACCACATATGTATTTATGCACACATTGCACACATGCATTGCATGTGATGCATGTAAGTCTGAACAAAGAGGTTCTTATAAGATCACTTCCATATACGTTGAGCAAATGCTGCTTCCTGTAACTGAACAGTAACTTTAGAATGATTTAGTAACTTTAACTTTGATCACAACTGCAACAAAACAACCTTGTGACACCACACATCCACCACCATACCTCTGTGTTTCTGAATGATTTTGAATTGAACTGAACTGAATAAACTTTCTATTAGCACTTAATTGCTAGCCCATGTCAGCAAATAATCAATGATAAACAAAATAATAATTAAAAGGAGGAGGTAAGTATTTAGGCTGATGTTTTTATGTGTATCTCTGTCTTCTGGTACATTCATATGTCAATATGATGTCTATAGTCATCAGCTGTAAAACAGGTTGTCTTCTTTATACACGGAGATACAGTGATGATATGGCAGCCTGTGGAGTGTGCATATGTGTAGCATGGGTTTACATGTATCAGAAAAGTGAGGACAGTGGGGTTTTTACAAGATCTTGCAAAAGGAAGAGGGAAATCAGAGGAAAATAAGGGCATCGTGAAAGACAAAAAAAACTACTTCCAAGACTGAACTTTAGACATACAAGTTGAAAATGCAGTCATATGAATGTAATATCACCTTTATATCCAACTATTTGACTAATGGTACAATTCATATTGGACCTGTTTATCTTACAGACATGATACACACATTACAACAGTCAGCAAAACTTTGGATCAGGGTGCTACTACAGAGGGCAGTAAGCTCCGACCTTCTTCTACTCAATAAATCTATTGGTTCATCAGTTTATATTACAAATAATACACAAAAATAAAAATTAACAATATTTCATTTCATCTTTCAATCCTAATTCCAGTAAATTTCTATGGCAATATTGGTAATAAAAATTCTCAGAAATGCTTTTCTTGCCTTGAGCCAAATATTCCAGGGCTTGTCTTACTAGTTATCAAAGTTTTAGTACTCAGCATGGATCCAAAAGAAGAACAGAAAGTCAACAAAAACCACAGCTACATTATGTAATTTATTTATTTTAGCTCATCAAGAAACAACAGAATAAGCCCCCAGCAAAATTATTGAATTTTGCTTCTATAAGCAAAATATAAATAAAATAAAAACAATAGCAGGTGTCAAGTAAATTTCTGGTCAAAAATGGCCAAATTCACAAAGATACAAAAGCTCTGTTAGCATTCTGCTTCCATGACAAATAATGATATGTCTGAGTAGCCTAGAGTCTCCCGAAAATAAAAGCATTTGCCATGTGTGACTCCCAAATAAGTAATTTGTAATTGAAATTGTAATTGACCAAAAATATAAAAACAATTACAGCAGTAAGCCTCTCAACGCCACACATTACAGTGATATTCCAGCCAAAGCACAAAATAGAGCAAAATTAGTGTAACAAATTATAGCATTTATAAAACAGGCATAGGATATAAAATGTTAAAATACACCATTGACCAACAAATTACATTTTATTAGTAATAATTTCTATTTTCCCCACCAAGTAACATAATTGTAATAACATAAAAACAGGCATTAAAACAGAATTACAGGAACTATCCATTTTATTCTCATTGTTTGCTATTAGCAGTCATTCATATCAAACGTTACAAATGTGCTCCAACTACTGAATCACTAATTCGGTTTATGAATGTGAAAGCTAAAAGTAAAGGTGTTGGTATGAATTGGTTGATATTCACTGTTGAACTTGGCAAAAAGTGGTTATCGGCTGTAGGAAAGGATGTTAATTTGTTGCAAAAAATGTAGCATTAGGTTTAGCTCATTAGAATGAGTGAACAGAAATCTTGGCTACTTGGCTTCCATCTACAGTAGCATTAGCCTATTGGAACTACTGAACATCTTGGTCCCTGTAAGATCTGCACATTGAGTTAGGTAGTTGAGGAAAGCTTACGAAACACAATGAACTGTACACACCAAATACAGTGGATTACTGGAAAATAAGTAAATATATGAAACCTAAATTAACCTGTGAAACACTCCATTATATAGGAAAGCAAGCAATGCATTCTGCTGATGTGAGTCCACTGATGCTGGATACACCTAATTTCAGTCTTCATTGATGGGAAGAAAAATAAAATAATAATTAGGGATTTAATATGCAATCAAGGTGAATATACAGGCTCTAGACTCAGTAACTAACCTTCATAGGTGGTGCAGATGAAGCTGAGTTTCTGGTCCTCAGGCAGGCTGACCCACTGCTGACCTCCTCTAGACTGCACCGCTCCGGTTCTCTCTACAGAGCTGCAGTCTTCTCCTCCTGTCCCGTTACCTGGAGCCCAGTTCTCATAGCAGATGGAAAAACCACTCACCCAGTACCAGAAACCCTGAGTGCAGGTGTGACGCAGACCCAGCCACACATGTTCAGTGGAGGCTTTCTGTGCCACCTCCTTCACCCAGAGCTGGATCTTCTCAGAGAGAACTGAGACCAGATCCACATGATTATCTCTGCAGTATCTCAGAGCTTCTCTCCAGCTCAGATTCTGACTGATCAAGATCAGCTGATCTAAAGGCAAATAGAAGGCAGTGCATAGTTTACATGCAGATTATATAATGATGACATACAGCATTCTGAATAAAGTACTACATTTATAAAAGAGGCAGTGAACACAAAAACATCTCATTAAAAACGTAATTAATTAGTTTGCCTTATCAATTAAAGGCCACATTGTTGAACAACTGAAATATTATATAACTCACTCTCCTGGCAGATGAAGGGGTACATTGTTAGGCAGTTCACATCATGCCAGTGACCCTGGTCAGTCATAGACACGGCAGCACAGTTCTCATTTCCACCCTGATTATCTGGCTGGTCAGACCTCCAGTATCGGAATGAGGAGTCACTCTGATCTGACCACTTCAGGGAATCATTAAACAGGCCGATCCAAACAAGAATGCTAATTGAATTCTTTGCCAAATTCCAGATCTGCTGGTTCTCAGTCTGGTTCCTCACACTGACCAGGTCCGTGTAATGTTCTATGCAGTAGGTCTGAGCATCACGCCAGGTCTTTGTCTCATTAATAAGTATGTATCTTTCAGTGTTTGTCTTCTTTTCTGAAAAACATTATATTTACATTATTAATAACTCAGATACACTGTGTCAAATTACCTTCATAATTAAAACACTTAGGCAAAAATAATAAAAGCCAGTGAGATTGTACTGTTTAACCGAGCTGCTTCAGTGTGTAAATACAAACATGTCCATGCGAGTGCATCGTTTACATATCATTTACAATGGGGCAGGTGCACTGCCCACACCCTCTACTGGTCAGAGCTTAAATAGCTTTATAGTAGGACTACTGAATTCTATGACCGCGTTTTAGGGCCACTGTTAATAAAAATAAAAAAGTAGACTTCGAGAATAAAGTCGTATTATTTCAAGAAAAAAGTCGTAATATTTCGAGAAAAAAGTCGCAATATTTCAAGAATTAAGTCGTAATATTTGGAGGATAAAGTGGTCTAACTGTAGGGGGCTGCCATAGCTTGTCGGCGTCTTGGTTGCTGTACTGGCGCTGGAGTTCCTCTCACTCCTGTCTCTTTGTGGATCGTTTTGATCATCATTCTCACTGTCTGTGAAACTTCATGCCCTCTTTGAATGGGGGGAGATGTAGCCCCCGATAGCCGTGTAGAGACCCTGCCTGCGATTCTCCTTTAACAGAACAGACAGACAGTTTCCTCCGAGTCCGTCTGGCTCTTTATTCTAGATAAACTCAGTTTCCTCCGCGTCCATCTGGCTCTTTATTCTAGATAAACACGGTTTCCTCCGCGTCCATCTGGCTCTTTATTCTAGATAAACACGGTTTCCTGCTCAGCCGTTTCAGCCGGTTCTTATACTAATAACAGGCTGGTGCTGCTGTGCAGGAGAGACAGGGAGACTGAGTGTTTCTTTATGGGTGAATCGATATGAAAGTAGAACTCAACAACTCAACGACCCTCATTTAACACGAGAAGGGGCTGCTTCACTTTGCAAAGCCCTTGGCCACAAAATTGCAACCTCACCCTAACTGCCACTTTTTTGCCACTTTTTCTTGACTTTTCTCTCTAAATAGTTCGACTTTTTTCTCGAAATATTACAACTTTATTCTCAAAGTCTACTAATTTTATTTTGATTAACAGTGGCCTTAAAAACCCGTCGTAGAACTCAAACTTGGGAAGGTCCTTTTACATCAAAGTTCTTACTCACAAATGTGCAGACAAACAAACTAGAGTAAGCAAACAGCCACTATGGTTTAAATGTTTAATCACTAATTAGAAGTCCCTCTAACTAATAAAACAAAATAAGACATACCAAATATATATGTTTATTTTATTTTGAACATACTTGTATAATCTAATCAAACTCTCAGTCCACCGAAATACTTTACTGGGTCCGCATCTGGACTGCAGTTGATGACTCCTGCTTTACAATGTTAGAGTTACAATAAATAATGAAACAAAATGTCGTACAGTTGTGCACAGAAGTTTAAACACCCCATCCGATTTCATGTTCTGTTGATTTTCTAACTGAAAATAAGTTAACACATCCTCTACGGAGAACACGTTTAAATATGTCCTGCAAATGTTAGTGCACAATTTCTGTTTATATGATGAGCTTCCCATATTGGAAAAACCTTTGCACAGGATGTAATTCAGCCAATAAACAGTACCTGTACATTATATTGTTCAGAAGTGTGTTCACACTTATAAAATCAACAAAACATGTACATTTGGCCAGGGGCACCCAGATTTTTGTGCATGACTGCAATTTTACTTGCTAACCGCAAATTAAGCTTTTTTTCAGGCTGTTAAAATATTAGGCTTAAATTGATGAAAACAAAAATGTGGATTATATGATCAATTTGACGATACTGCTTTAATGCATGATGGTCAGTGTCCCTGGTTAACATGTATGTGGATGTTCTTACTGTCAAAACACATAAAAGTATATGTTTCAGCACAGCCATCATCACACCAGGTTCCAGTGTTCTTGCTCATTGCAACACAGTATTGATTTCCCCCAGCATTGTTTGGCTCTCCACTGTTCCAGTTTCGGTAAGTGTCTCCCTCCCTGTAGAAACTTTCATCTGCCAGAGACCACAGCCATTTCCCAGTGTTCCCTCTGTCTAGACCGATCCAAACAAAGCTTCTAGTTTTATCGTTCAGAATAGCATTCAGCTTCTTCATCTCCTCCATGTTGTTGATGGTGGCCAGATCAGTGTAGGTCTGTCTGCAGTAGCTCTGAGCTTCAGTCCAGGTTTTATTCTCATTCACAAAGTGATACCGATGAGGAACATATGCAGATACACCACAGACAGCTGTGAAGAACATGAGAAAACAAGGCTCAACATACAACTGTAACAGTGTACATCTTCCACAACAGAATAACACAAGAACACAAACAAGAATCACAACACAAACACGCCGGAGTTGGTGGATCACATCATATGGGCAGGCATTTCAATTGTAGGATTTGTTCATCTTGTTGTTGTTGTTATTATTATTACTATTACTATTTTTAATAGTAATTATAAGCACAAATTCATCTTCATTCTCAGGCCTGGATTGTGATGTTATTGGTATGTTTGGTGTGCCCCTAACCGGCTACCATTTTTGGGTGGTCAGTGAATTTTTTTGTGATATCACAGCCATCTCACAACCCGAGAGAAAACAAGAGTAAGATCGCGCACACATTAACGAGAGTACAGGTTAACATAAACAAAACCAATGCAAGTTTTACCTATAAAACAAACATCCACTCTTCAGAATCACCTTTACCCTAATAAAGGTGTATAAAATTGAAATCAGAGCTGAAATGTTTATGATAAAGATGAAGAGCATCAGCACTTACAAACCCAATCCATCAAGAGTCCTAAGCTAAAGCATACTGCCGCAGCTTTAGCTTTTCTCCAGCTTTCCATTCATAGTATATTCAAAGGAATGCTAGCTCGCTGCAAAAAACCTGAAAGCTGGTCCAAGCTGATGGCGGACAGTGGAATGAAAGATTTGGAGAGCGTCAGGATTAAAATCAGTCAAAATACAGTGACAAAGTAGTTCATTTTCCCACTGTGCTGACAGTAAAGTTCTCACTGCAAGTCATAACTATGGAGCCCCGCTGGTGACAATCTGAGACCTTAATGCATAGCCATGATTTAATAAGGCATGGAAACAAGATTCTAAAGCATGGTCACAAAATAGTACGGCATGATCTCATTCCCACGCCTTACTAATTCATGGCTATGCATTAGGGTCTTGTTTCCATGTGTTAATATGGCATGGCTACGCTCCGTCCCTCTGGTGGCACATGTCTATAAAACCACTAGGATGATCTGGGCCTCCTCATTTTTTTTGCACACTTATGGAATAAAACACAACATGAGCCACGAGACATCAGTAAATCTACTTGTTTCCTTGTTGTATCCTTGTTCAGTAGAAGACTGCAGCCTTGAAAGATGAATCCAAAAGCTAACCTTATTCACAGTGGTGAAGTATGACAAACGCAACGTATTTAGACAAGAAACCACACTAACAACAACAACATCATGACATCATTATGTGAAAACTATTAATTCTTCTGTCTGTTACTAATCAAGCAAATCTATGTGCACAGCTGGACCATTAACACGTAACCAAAATAACGGAAATGTTAAGGACATGTGCCGTTTATCAGGGCGTTACCGCTCTGCAGTTTCCGTTTCCCCAATACATTATTCACCACCATCACTGTAATATTTTATTTGGTGAGTTTTCATTAACATTAACACAAAAAGGTGAGGAAACTTTTCAAATACACTTTGAATTTGAAGCTCCAGACATTAAAGAAGACATACCTGACAGAGTATCAGACACTCATTTCCATAGCCAAATATAACATGTCAGCCACCTGACTTACAGGTATAAGCATTTGCATACATGCTGTGGAAGTATGCCTTAGATCATGATGATTGACGCTTTAGGTTTGTAAATATGCTGATGTTTGTCGTCTTTATTCTGTACATTTCAGCTCTCTGATTTCAATTTATGTCGTCTTCATTGGGGTAAATGTGTTCCTTGTCATGTGAATGTTTTCTAGGGAAATAAATTGGTTGTTGAGTTTTACTAGCCTGTGCTCTCATTAATGAGCTTCATTTTGCTATTGTTTTGTCTCAATAGGAAAAAGATGTGCACTTCTAGACGTGCCCAACACTGCAGTTTATATGCTTCCATCATGGTGCTGCCCAGCCCTCATGTAACCTGCTGTGATATCATAAAAAATTCACTGCCCACAAAAAAAGGTAGCCAAGTAGTTCATCTGTTCGGCCATTTATTGATGGAAGCATAGAGGTGTCCTTCACTGCCTACATTTCCCAAAATCCTGTGTGTCAGCCAATGTGGTTAGGATGCAAGTGCTAAATTGTACTAATCTTAGCAATGAGGTGAATGTTTGTCTTATGTACGCTAACCTTCTTGAAGGACATTTTACTGGGTGAAAGACACAAACTGCTAATGCTGACACAGCTAACCGCTAACAGCTAGCGATGAGCTGTTGGTACCCTGACATATTGCCACCTTCAAAGTGTGTCTCAAATGAGATTCGGTTGCAGGTACCTTCATCACAACTCTACCTTCTAGGGCTCTGATTTAAAATCATGAAAGCAAGACATCAAGACAGCTGCTTTCAGTTTGGGACACAGCCTTCATCTAGTTAGGATATTTCTGTAACAGTTCTTCTCTGGGGTTAGATGAGACTATGAAGTTAGGGACTGTTGTTCTTATAGCTACTGTCCCAAATTCAGTCCTAACTGAAGTTGTCATGGTGACTGAACTGAGAAGACAACCCCCTGAATAGCCAGGCCTGAATCTGTAGGTGTAAGTATTCAGCAGAGCTTGCTTGCATTCGTCAAAATGATTTTTCTTCTGTGTTTTGTAAGGTAAATGTCTTTGTAGCACCTCCTTTGAGAGGCCCCTGTGACCATGTCTGGACCCTCATGTTAAGAACCCCTGGCCTGTTCTATTTCTGACAGCTGTATTGCCCAAATTCTGTCTTGTGTTGACTGACCTGAGAAAAGGAAGGTGACAGAAATCCATTTCTGATCCATTTCTGACAGAAAAAAGAGAAGCAGGTTGATTATTTATTAGGAAATATTAGTATTTACATTATTATCAATAAACATGATTCTAAGTCATATTACAGAAACCTTTTTTTTGCCCTTGATCTGAAAAGGTCAAGACAAGATTTTTTACAAATTCATATTACATTAGCAAATCTAATTATCATTTAGGAATTGCTACATACACCGACCCCTTTTACCCTGTCCTTCAGTGGCCTTCAGTGGTGAGGTGTTTAAAAACCCCAGCAGCACTGCTATGTCTGATCCACTCAGACCAGCACAACACACACTAACACAACACCACCACGTCAATGTTACTGCAGTGCTGAGAATGACCCACCACCCAAATAGTACCTGCTCTGTGGGGGTCCTAACTGTTCAAGAACAGGGTAAAAGGGGGCTAACAAAGTATGCAGAGAAACAGATGGACTACAGTCTGTAACTGTAGAACTACAAAGTGCACCTATATAGTAAGTGGAGCTGATAAAATGGACAATGAGCATAGAAACAAGGAGGTGGTCATAACGTTATGCCTGATCGGTGTAGATGTATATGGTGGAGAACGTGTGTCTGCAGTTTCCAGGATTTTGGAACAACAGAGGAAAAACATCTCACAAGTGAAACCACTGTTTTGCAATATAAATAAATAAATATACAGTTATTATGAACTTGTTTTTCTGCCTATTTCAGTTGCCTAAAAATGCTAAAAATATAAGGCTAAAAGAGACATTTGGACACTTTTGTGGTTCTCCTAAAGTTAAATTTCCAGGAAATTTCTGTAATATGTTTCTTATCTGGAGTGAATGGATAAGATTACTGCCCTAAATTCAGTCTAAACGGAATTCATCAGAGTGATTAAACAGATAAGGATGTTTCTATAATTCCGCCCTAGATTTAAAAAATGAACAAGAAAGCAACCAGAAGAAGTGCATTAATGTTGATTCAGTGAAGGTAACTCCTACCTGACTGCTCTTCTTTTCTCCTCTTGATGATCGTCTGTCTTCTTCCCTTCTCCTTCTGACTCTGTGTCTCTCGCCTCTCTGTACAGCTGTCTTCTTTAACCCCTGCTATCTCCATCATCTGCTGTTGCCATGCCGTCTGAATTAGAATACAGTTCCCAGTATCATGATGTCACACTTTGCATGAGTTTCTGTCAACCCATTGTCAATAACAACAACAGGCTGTTTATCAACTTAACTGACCCGTCAGAAGCTGGGCGTGTCAGCTATGGGGTTTTAAATGGCAAAGGTAAAAGATTTAGGCCGCATAGTGTGGAAGATCAGATCTGCCAATATGAAAAATACGCTGATAAATGAATGACTCGGTAAACAAATCACATTAATTGTGTATGTATCGCTTCTTATTTCGATATTTATGTATTTAGTCATTCCTATATTTAGGCAATTCCCGGTATATGTATATTATTTATTTGTTTGTTTGTTTAATAAATAAAGTAGGTGATATTGAGGGTCCAGGTGAGGTCATCAGTGATATGCATACAAAGGAACTTGAAGCTTTTTACTCTCCTCTTAGTTGAACCATTGGTGCGCAGTGTAGAGTGGTCACCATGAGTCCTCCTGAACTCTATAACCATCTTATCAACTTATAAACGTTTTTTAATTTTTGCCCAGTTTTCTCCCCAATTTCATCTCCAATTCCACCCGCTAGTTAGGACTCCCCCAATCAGATGATACTATCAACGTTAGGAGGGTGAAGGCTAGCACAGGCTTCCTCCGAGATCTTTGAAGTGCCACCACATTTTTCCGAACTGCCGCTCATGCAACGTCATCGCGCTGAGTGATGGGGGGAAAAGGGAGGGTCCATCCTACCCACCCAGAGAGAGCGAGGCCAATTGTGCTCTCTGGGACTCCAGACTACGGACGACTGTAGCATCACCAGGGATCGAACTTGCGATCTCCTGATGACGGGGCCAACGCTTAGATGGTTGCGCCACTCGGAAGCCCAAGAGATAGACTGCTGATTGATTGATTGACTGATCGATTAACTGATTGACTGACTGAGCTTGTTTTTTATCTGTATTATACCATTTATCTTGTAGATAAGCAAATAAGTTTATTTACAAACAAAAAAAACAGGCATGACTGATAATATCATTTCTCTGGGTACAGTACATGACTAGCCTGTACAAGGGAGCAAAGAGTTTACAGAGTTTACAGAGACATCAGCATACTACTAGCGATTTTTTATGCTTGTTATGAAGAAAAGGACCTTAAAACATCAAAACGACATTAAACTGAGATAATATAAGGGTTGTCACAATTATTTAGCAAAGAATATACTCAAATTTTGGGTTTTTTTTGGTCACTTTTGCAGCCATCTTGCCCTTGTCTCTTTTTTCTCATAACATTCTGTTTGGAGTGTCTCTGAAAAACCTCCGTTAGGAGGGTCATGTAGCCCTAACACTTTGCTCTACCCTTCTATCTCACCAAAAATCAGGACACCCAACACCTATGCGTGAACGCACAAAATGGGAGGGTAAGGGCTAAGTGGTAGGGGGCAAGGGGTGAAATGGGATTGGGCGACTGTCTTACATAGCAACACTCTGTAATTGTGCTAAAATGACTGCAATGCATGGCTTCTCATGGTTTATTGTTTTATTTTAACTCTAGAATTCAATATTTCTTGTGAATTTGAAAAGAATTTTGGTGTATCCAGGCAGCAACATGACATCCATATGCAAGAACAACGGAACCTGTGCTTTCGCACATGGAAATACCAGAAAGCAATGAGTTTACGTGAAGTGGCCCTAATTTGCATATGTTTACATGCACAGGTCAGTGAGGACAAAGAGGTTCTTATAAGATCATTTGCAAACACTGTTGAAATGATGCTGCTCCCTCCAGCTGAACGGCGACTTAAAATTAAGGTAACAGCCTTGTGACATCACACATCCACCACCATGCTTCACAGTGAGGTTTCTGAATATTACTAAATTGAACTGAATAAACTTTATTTGTGCAATTAATTACTAAGTCAACATCAGCAAATCAACAATAGAACAACAACAAATATAAATAAAATAAAACAACAATCATAATAAGTAAAAGGAGTAAATAAATAGCCTGTCATTTTTATGTTTATCAGTATATCTCTGTTCTCTAGTATGTCAACATGAGTTCTACACACATCAGCTGTAGATCAGGTCATGTTTTTTACACATGGAAATAGTGATATGGCAGTCTGTGGAGAGTGCACATGTTTTGCATTTGTTTCTGTGTCAGAATGTGAAGACAAAGAGGTTCTTATGAAGTCCTCCAACCCGTAAGCAAATGCTGCATCATTTCTGTCCTGATGGGAGGAGTCAATGCCACCATCCACTGAGCACAATTGAATGGTTTGATGAGTATGAAAACTGATGTAAATCATACATTATGGCCTTCACAGTCATCAGTTCTCAAGAGATTTTGGACCAGGACAACTTTTCACCACTATGATCAAACACCTCATCCTTCTTTTTCAACAAAAATCAGGACACCCTACACCTGTGTGAATGCACAAAATGGAGGGATAAGATTCAATATTTAAGAGTTTTATTGTCATATGCACAGCAGAAACAGGCAGTTACACTGTACAATGAAATTCTTACTTTGCTGGGGGTGTATACTGTCCCTGATTACGTTGTGGGCCCTCCTGATGACCCTGGTGTGATAAATGTCCTGTAGTGAGGGGAAGGCTGCTCCTGACATGGACTGTGCAGTTTTGATCACATGCTGGAGAGCCTTTCTGTCCTGAGCAGTGCAGTTTCCATACCAGACCGTGATGGAGCTGGGAAGAAGACTTTCGATCGTACCCCTGTAGAAGGTGCTGAGAATTTTGGCTGGCATGCCAAATTTCCTCAGCCTTCTCAGAAGGTAGTCACTGCTGGGACTTCCTGATGATGAGGTGTGTGTTGTGAGACCAGGTGAGATCCTCACTGATATGGATGCCAAGGAATTTGAAGGTTTTCACCCTCTACACCTCTGTCTCACCTATGTACAGGGGTGTGTGCAGCTCCCGCTTCCTCCTTGGATCAACAATCATTTCCTTGGTCTTGTCTGCATTCAAGATTGCTGTCATGACACCAGGCCACCAGCTCAGCCACCTCCTTCAGTGTACGCTGTCTCGTCACCACCAGTGATCAGTCCAATGACTGTGGTATCATCAGCAAACTTGATGATGCTTGTGTTGTTCTGGGAGGCCATGCAGTTATACGTGAAGAGCGTGTACAGAAGGGGGCTCAGCACACAGCCCTGGGAGACCCCTGTGCTCACAGTTCTTGTGCTGGATGTGCGGCTGCTGACTCTGACTGACTGGGGTCTGTCTGTTAGAAAGTTCAGGACCCAGTTGCAGAGCTTTTCTGAGTTTGTGTGGAATGACCATGTTAAATGCTGAGCTGTAGTCAATAAAGAGCATTCTGACATACGTGTCCTTGTCCTCTAGGTGTGTGAGGGCTGTGTGAAGGGCAGTGTTGACTGCATCGTCTGTAGACTGGTTGCGACATAATGCAAACTGGAGAGGATGTATAGTGTTCAGAATGGTCTCCTGGATATGAGTCATGACTATCCTCTCGAAGCACTTCATCAGGATTGGGGTGAGTGCAACAGGGCGATAGTCATTTAAGCAGGTCACAACGCTTTTCTTTGGGAGAGGCATGATGATGGTGGTCTTGAAGCAGGATGGCACAAAAGCTTGCACAAGGGACAGATTGAATATGTCCACAAACACGTGCATGCCCGGGGATGTTGTCTGGGCCGGCTGCTCTCCGTGGGTTTATTCTCTTCAAGGTCCTGCACACATCCACTAATGTCACAGTGAGCGATGTGTTCTGTGAGTTCTCCTTGGCCATAACGTCTCTCAGTTGGCCAGGGTTGAGAGCCTCAGAGCGAGCATAGAACTCATTCAGCTCATCAGGTAGTGTAGTGTGGCTGGTTGTGACCACCTTGCTCGTCTGTTGGTAGTTGGTGATGTGCTGTAGTCCTTGCCACATGCGCCGGGATTCTGCGGTGGTGTAGTAGCCCTCCAGCTTCAGCCTGTACTGTCTCTTTGCCTCTCTGATAGATCTACGCAGGTCATAGCTGGACCTTTTGTAGTCTTCAGCGTTGCCTGAGAGAAATGCAGCATGGCGTGCACGTAGCATGGACATGAACTTCACTGTTTATCCAGGGTTTCTGGTTGGGGTATTTTCTGCAGCGCTTTGTAGGAACAATGGTTTCAATGTAGCTGCTGATGTAGCCCGTTACCCCAGAAACATAGTCCTCTAGATCAACAGTACAGTCCTTTTTCACAGCAGCAGTTCTGAACACATCCCAGTTTGTACTGTCAAAGCAGTCCTGAAGCACTAGATCAGTTTCTTCATTCCACATTTTGATAGTTTTACTCACTGGAAGTGCTTGCTTGAGGAGTTGTCTGTATGCTGAGTAGAGGAACATGGAAATGTGCTCGGACTGTGCGGCCGAGGCACAGCCCTGTAGGACCCCCTTATGTTGCTGTAGACTTGGTCAAGTATGTTGCTCTCCCTCATCGAAAAGCTCACGTGCTGATGACACTTGGGGAGGACAGTCCTCAGGTTGCAGTGGTTGAAGTCGCCGGCAACAATGAACACGGCGTCCGGGTGTGCGATCTCTTGTTTACTAATGGCGTCATTCAGCTGCCCCAGCACCGTGGCCAAGTTCACGCGTGGCGGGATGTAAACAGCCAGAATAAACACAGTGCTGAACTTTCTCAGCAGATAGAAGGATCTGCACTTCACCATCAGCAGTTCTAAGTCAGCTGAACAGTGTTTTTCAACAGTCTTTATGTCTGAACACCACCTGTTGTTCACGTAGATGCAAACACCACGCGCCTTTGTTCTTCCCCGATGCTGCCGTGCGGTCCCCGCGGTGGACGGAGTGCGTTTCTAACTGGATCACTGAGTCTGGCGTGCTGTCCAAGAGCCAGGTTTCCATGAGAATAAGAGCACAGCACTCTCTGATCTCACACTGAGTGGTTATTCTGGTTTTCAGCTCATCCAGCTTGTTTTCAAGG